GTTAGACGAGCTGATCGAGGTCACTTATTTTATTGAAACACCAAAACTTGAGTAACTTTGTAATGACAGACCCCACTAAGATCAATAATCTAGGGAAAATTCAGTTATTTTACTGCATGTGATAGGTCGGGACAAAACAGTCTCATTAAGTGCCAGTGTAGGTAGGTAGGTAGAAAAAGAGACTGATTACCAGATCCTAGGAATGATGCAGCACTCATAACGAGGATATGGAAAAGTCTACTACCAGTGAAAACTGACGGGAATGTAGAAATCCCATTTGTCTGTTTGTTTGAAATATCACAAAATGAAACAGTTTTATTCACTGGATAACGTTTTAGACATAATTTGTTTTCCATATTCAAATCATAGGAATATGAACAATAAATAATGTCCGAAATGTTATCCATTAAATAAAACTATTTCAATATGCGATATTTTTTATAAACAGACTCAAGTGGAATTACAGTCTACCACAGCCTCCAAGTTTCACTTCTATGTTAAGGGAATATAGAAACTAGATTTTGAGAGTTGTGCGATTACTTTGATGTGGTTGTTCTCAAAATTATATCCTGTAAAGTGTATCGCTGCGTGCCATAACAACTAAACAAATATAATATTAATTATCATCTTGACTGAGATAGCTGTGGTTTGGCAGACTATTATTGTTGCCTGGTGATGATTGAAGGTGAAATAAAGATTTGGACAGCAGCCGAATTCAAATCAGCTAGGTCGTCGTAGCTCAGTGGGTAGAGCATCAGGTTGGAGACCTAGTGGCCACTGGTTCGAGTCCGGCCACATCCAAATCTTCATTTTACCTTCAGTCATCATCCAGCATAAATACAATATTCATTAGAATACGTTTAATGAAGAAAAATCTCACACTTTTGCTTTTTTTTCATACCAACTTGTCATCGAAACTCCTGAACACAATTATTGCACTATGTTTCTTGACATAACAGTTCACCATAATCTTTTCCCCAAATTTATTGAGGCATTTGCATTTCTTAAACTTAAATTTGCTACAAATACTCTTAACTGCTTATTATATGTCACTAATTCATGTCAAATCTGCTCATTATTCAATTTCGTTCACTCACAAGCAATAGATTCACAATGTTGGCTATTAACAGCTATTTATGAGGAAAATCAACCGATTATTTGGTTTTCCCTGTCTATTATTACAAAACTGAGAATATCATTCAAATTTATTCATCATCAGAATGATTCCATCATCATTTAATTTAGACTATTTACTGTCTCAAGTATATCTCATTGATACACGTTAATTGCGATATTTAACCAAATATCGAAAAATGATGGTACAGCCTTCTGCTTCAATATGATAAAACATTTCACATCTTTGAAAGTTAATTTTATGAACCTGCGCCTAAACAGAACCTCATTAAAACAGTTAAAAATCTTTCTTTAGCGCTTGAACATCCCATCCTGAAATTCTGTATATGCACTTTAGCCTCTAATCAATCTGTAGCAAGAATCAACCGACTTCCGTAAAGAATTTCCTATACTGCTCGATGTCATCATGGTTTATGCATTTCAATAACTGTGCGCTACTTCAGTCTAAGCCTCTGTAACTTTTAAGAGCTAACAGTCCTCCGATTTTTTCCTGCTAGCATAAATGAAACTGTGAACTACAAACACTTTTGACTCGTCTCGCATTTCAATGCAGAGTACTGAAATGCAAGCCTGGATAAGATCAAGAATAAATATCTACAAACTGGGGTGAATTTTATCACCGATTGACAGAATTTATCAAGGATTTAGGTCTTCCAACTAATCTGTATTTTAAATTGTAGTATCTTTGGATAAAAAACCTTGAAGACTCGCGGTTAAATCAGCTACCAATTTGTCATTTGCCAAACAAGAAACTCCAGTGAAATTAATGCCAGCTACCATAAATTTTTGTGAAAACCTTATGCAACAGTTTACTGCTTCACATAGTACTCATGTCATAATATGGTTTTTAAATTGACTAGATTACAAATGTTTCAGTATATAGGAACGTGTAAATAACGCTGAATGGTACCTGCAGTTCACTACTACACAAGTAAGAATATAAAGATTAGGCGTAAAAAGGTTTACTAATCAGAAAAAGGTAAAAGGTAACCGGAAAACAACAGTTTAAGTAGTTTTGTTACGTGAACAGTAACTATCATCTTTGAAAAACAATTATCTTTTATACTGATAAACACTCAGTTACTCGGTAAGAGTTTTAACGTACTAAAATATTTGATATTTGTTCCAGATGAACTATTGATCCATATCTGTATCAAGTTTTGAACAAAAACAACCCAGCATCTCATAAGAAGAGTTGTGAACAAGCATGTGCTAAGGCTCAAAAACTGTAGAAGTCCAAGGAAAATCATCAGCACGAAGTGTTCAAAGTCAATGACTTTCCAGTCGACCTCATCAAGAAATGCTTATCGACAGAGCACGGATCAGGGTAGTTACCTCATCCTACGTAACGAACCACTTTAGCATACATCAAAGATATCTCATAAGCTTTCAACCGGTTGTTTCACCCATTTGGTAATTGTATGACACGCAGACCAACCGAATCCCTGAAGAGAATATTATGCCAGTTGGGGGGATCCATCAACCAAAAAAGACAAAATGAATATAATCTACAAAATTAGTTGCAAGGACTATCAAAATCACTGTGTTGACCAGTCCAGTAATCGAATTAGCCGAAAAAATTATGAGCATCAACTTGCAGTCAAATAACATTATATGTCTTCATTAATACCTTTACATGTGGGTGGTTACAACCACAACCTCAATTGGGACAAAACGGAAGTACTACAGAAAGCAAGCTTAAGGACTGCAGAAGAGTTCTTAGAGGTATGTTACTCCGGTCAAAAGGTAGCCAATGGATATGTGGACAGTGACCGAAAATACGGAATAAGAAAGGGCTAACAGACTACTGAAAATCAGTCAAGCAAATCAAAAATCAGACATTATGTCAGCATTAAAGGTCAAATAATTACAATTATAAATGTCGAAATCTGATAAAAGAAAACCTCACCTTTACCCACAGTTCAGTTATCCGTAAGGTCTGTTAAAATCCATCATAAATGTTTATACAACTTAAAGGTGCTCCACCTCTGATGAGAACACCCAACCTGGTGATGAAACGCCCAAGAACAAACTCCCAAATCAGAGGACACAAAAAATTGACGATGCTGAACTACAAATCTCTATTAAATGAAGCACTGCATAGCTTAGTGTTCTTCTGTCCACTTTGCTAGCTTCTAAAGTTACTATGCAGAAAGGCTCTTTGTAAACTTACTGGTGAATGATACACTTTGCAGATAAGCGTCACATTCAGGTATTTTGACATCTTAGTCAGGAAGCGAAAGTCTCTTGTCAGTTTGAAAATGTAATTTGGGATTTTATGAAAAAAATTCTGCGTAGACATGAATTTGACTAGTCTAGTCATGTTAAATTATTGCGGGGATTTAAGTTCTCATCGCGCCATAAGATCTTGATTTTATACAACTTAATTCTATCTGTTCTATGGACAGTAAACTCACTGCTACAGGACTATAACTTGCTTTCGTGATAATAAACGCTTACCAAATGTTTATCAACAGTGTATAGCGTTTAACTCCTAGTACTTCTAACAAATACACTAGGGTTAATATATTATATAGGAACCCAAAAGTCTCTCTGGTTTGTGTGATGTGTATAATTTGGATGCTTTCTCTATGAATTTCACAAATGTGATAAAAGTTATTAAGTGAGTTCACTTCTAACTAACGCAGCATTTCAAGTTTTTAAACCTCACGACACTGAACCACGATACACGGTAGCCATAACTGAGGTAAATAAATGAAAATAATATGATCAAAAGTCTTAGATACCCGGAAAGTATGAGGTGATGAATCAAATAAAAAGGAAAACCAGTATAAGTTTTGAATGTATCTCTTCCTCGAAAATCTATTATGCGTCACAACCTACAGCTTTTAAACCTTGGTTTTGATTGTCTGTCAGAACACAACTTTAAGGCTTACTTTTCTTTTTTCCAGCCGCTCGTGTAATTTCTCTTTAGTTATTTTAGTACTGAAAAATATGTATTGTCAACTACTGTTGTAAGCTCCAACCGCTAATTTATGACGGAACTTGCATTAAGTATACTACTACAGCTTGCTATACACAGCACCTTCTCTCCCCTGATTTTAAGGAACGGATTGACCTGTCTTTTTAGTATATCTTATTCCTGCGAAATGACTTGCATGTGGCCTTTAGAAAAGTTCTGAGGTTCTTTGTCCAGAAATTATCAATACCACATCATGCAAACTTTGTAATTTTATTTTCCTGAGTTTTAAATGGCTTCTTTATATACCATCTCACTTACTATGACAAAAGCGTACTTGACGTTTTCTGATTTGTCATATTCCATCCCTGAGATCTAATAACCAGGCATGAAAATGGCGGCGGTTCTGTGATGTTTCCATACTACACTTTGAATATTCTCATTACAACTCATAGATGACTTTTGCTTCGTTTAAAGTTAAATCGTGGTCAAATACCATCTTCTGTGACTATATAACCATTAGTCTTCTCAACAGTATAAAATTTTTAATTGTCACTAATAAGGGATTCAGGCAGTTTGTAATCATAACTTTATAGTAGGTGCTACTCCAGCATCATACATAAGATTAGAAAAATATTTGTTGTACAATGGACATACAGATTACAAATCTAATCAGCAGGTGAAGGTTTATTGCTATAAAACCGAACGATTGCATTTGAATAGGTTTATTTAAAAAGAATAGAGAAAATTTGTATAAAGTTTACAATACTACTTATTATGCATATATATATATATATATATATATATATATATATATATATATATTATTCTCAACAGCTAACTTTTTCAGTCAGTAATTCAATACAACAATTATAATTCGTAGATATTTACTGTGAAGTCCATGTGTATGCCATATCTCTGTCGCGGGAATATTCGTAATTTCTACTTATGAACGTTTGATTTCATTGCCATCAATATAAAGTTTATAAGTAGCAACGTTTGTAGCCATATCATGTAAAATAGACAGTAGGCCTTGGTGATTCATGAGGGAAAAATGAGATTCTTGTGAATTTCTGTCACCCTTTACCTAAAATTTTAATGGAAACCGAAGTATGTAACTGGTAGCAGAAACAATTTACATTGTACCAGTTTTAAAAAACAAAGCAGCTTACTTGTTGTTTTTTTTCCTCTTATTTAATGTCGTATAACTAAAACCCGGTTTCTAAATATTGCTGCATTTTAAACTCTATGTATTCGTATTTACCAAACTAAATTTTAAGTAAAGTAAATAGTTTGGTAGTTCTGAAACTTCAAGTTCAATGCGTGTAATGGATAAAATGTATACGTAGATTGGTTACTGAAGAGAAGTCTTTTTCATGTTGCCTGATCCTGAGTGACATTCGAATCCCATCATTCATTTTTGTTCACTGTGTCTATCAGTCCAAGTGGCTCACCATAGGAGCATACTTTTTGGCAGATGTTGGCTGGATGATAGTAATCGGCAGGAAGCCCTAAACCTAGGTTTGTGCTCCTTGGTATTCTTCAGAAAGGTACACCTGCAACTTGAAAGAAAACTGTCAGAAAAGTTACCACCAAGCTGTTATGAGATCTAAAAATACCACATTCACTTTGGAATGAGTTAAACTAGTTGCTACTACTTTCAAATCACCCTGTTTCTCACATTTTTAAAAATCTTTCGGTTGAAACTGTTTCCTACGAACTCGAAAGATGAAACTTTGTCAAATGGATATGTACGGATATAGTGATTATGTACACATAGCTTAGCTACTAACAGCATTTTATTCGATATTGCAGGTCATGAACTTTTCCTACCTACCTGAATTTGTATCTGTTGATCGTTACACCATAAAATTTGAGTATCCGTACCTATTTAAAAGAAAAATCATATAACAGTGTTAGAAGCCTTTGTTCTCATGATAACTCGTATGGTGTACAACATCTTGTGCTGTATCATATGACGCTACATTTCAAGCTGCATCATCTGAATTGTCTGTATATCTGCATAAAGAGAAATGATATATTTGCCGTAAAGAAAGAAAACCGTTACAACAAAAATGTTTTGTTTTCGAATCTTAATGACCTTTTTCAGTATTTAGTTTTATAAGATTACACAGAAGACGATTACAGTGAAGGAAAAATTTTCTTCCTGAAAAAATTATTTCCTTAGGTGCATAACCTCTTTTTTGACATGGCCATCATACAGTTTCGATCACTTCAGATAATTCTCAAATGACGTAACTATTCTTATCATGTAATCATTTTGTTTATTTCCCCATTTTGAACGCATATCGACTGTGGGTAACTTCCTTTTGTTACGTCATTTATTTTGACCTTTGACCCAAAATTACTGTGTTACGATCTGCCCTTTCTGCTACGTATTCAAAATTTGTACAGCTAAGAGAATGATTTCGTCGAAAAGAAAAATGTTTCTTCGCTAAAATCGTCTTCTGTGTTTTCCTGTAACAAAATGGGTTTGTTTCGATACTTAATTTTAGGATATCTTAATGAAGACGTATTTGATGGAATTTCAATGAATCATCTATTCGCCATCTGAAATTCAATGTGGTCTCTTAGTATGTATAGAAACTTAGTTGTTTGCGATCTTGCTTTCCTTCCTTTAATTCTCGAAAGATATTTCAAAGGCACCCTTTTGGTTTGTAACTCAGATAGTACATATGAAGCAGGGAAAACTTTATTGAAATCGATGTTTTTTTCTGTTTTGGCCAATGTTAGGGGGAAAATGAATCAAAATTAATATCACTGTAATATGCTGTTATGATTTTGGCTAGATGGTTTATTACAGTCTGATTTTTCTGTGAAATGCATTGGTAATTTTCGCATTTTTTGATGAAATCAAGCTACCAGAGTACATCTGTCATATGAGCTATACGAGTTACTGATTTATGACTTTACTACAACTTATGCATTTTCGTTTCCAGAAGTTGATAAGAAGTGTGTAGATTGTGAAAGAAAGAAGCCTGAATGAGGAGATAACGGCATTTGAATATATTACGTTTAATTGAAAACGTGATCTTTACGTTAATTCATTCCGTAATAGCACTGTTACGTTTACATTTGGCCTGATATTGTTTATTTAAACAGCTTTTAAGTAAATCAATATCTTTTAGGTGTTCTTTTTTATGGCTTCCTAGAAGTTTTGTTTGGAATATAATTGAAACGGTACAAGCTTGCTTCACCTGATCCGTATGTTACTTGGTTTTCTGTTGTTGTCTTTTAAAACAGTCCCTTAAAATGTGTTCTTAATCTGTGTAAGTGTCACTTTTTTCATAGGTAGGAAAGTTTTGATTTCAGTTGTTTCATTCTTCGCATGAACATGTTCTCATCAAAACACGTACTCTGAAAGTTCTGTTTATTGTACGACCGGTTGTTTTGATTTGTGATTTAGTTGAATCATGTTAATTTTTCAGTCTATTTCAATATTCTTCTACTGAAATGAAGATTAGTTATTGAAATAATACCATAATGTGTGGAATGCTATATTTCTTCGAATACGCATCAGAAAATATTAGTTGAATTTTAAACCGTTTTCGTAAAATACTTACAATAAGCCAAACTAACTTGATTACCGTCTAAATTCAGGTTCCATACAATGACATTTTCTGATGGTTGATAATTGCTTGTTGAAGTTTTTGCAATACGACCACTGAAATATATTTTGAGAAAAAGTAAGTAGATAAATGGGATTCAGGTTGTTAGTTGACTGAAGGCAATCAGCAGGAACTCTCATGCCTGTTGGCACTCTTCAGCAAGGTATCCATTATATATATATATATATATATATATATATATATATATATATATATATATATTTACTGAGGTGGCCAAGGTGATTGTAGAATTCGAAGCATCAGTCTCAACTTTTCAAAGCGCACTTTCACACATTAGTAGCTGGGTATAATACTAGTTTTTACAGTACGGTATTTTGTTCAATTTATAAGTGTTGTACAAATTCATAGAATCAGTGCCGAAATAAATAAATGTATCTGTTTTTCATAGGAATAATCACAAAAAATTACTTCGATTTGTTTAAACATACAAAATCTCCTGTATATGTTAACAGAACGAAAATGCCTGTGAAAATTTTGCAAACCCCATAGTAAACAGTTTAAATCTGATACTGCTTTCTATTCACATTTTTACACGTACTCTCAAAAACTAAACCTGGCATCAGGTTTGAAATCATCCAACCACATAACTATGAAAAGGGAAACGAAAAGATACAGTCTGTTTTCAAGATAGTCTTATGATGTGAGTATAAATCTTCAAGAAGGCACTAATAACCAATCATTTGTTTATTGCTTTGCGTTGCTCTACCAAGCTATACGAAGGCTTACGTATTTATTATTTGAATTTTAAGCAAATGTTATATATAATATCCTTGAAATTATGTATGATATGAAAGTGATTTGTTGAAAATTCTCACTTTGAATTGATCAAAATCACCTCCGTTTCGCTTAAATTTGTGAATGAAGTTTCGGAATAGCGCTACATCAAAATGTACTAGGTGACTTGTTGGTTTTGCATCCTCGACTGTTAGCATTAAGATGATAGAGGATATCTGTAGTTCAGGAGGATAATTTTGTTGTTGTGTTCTCTGAGCTGGATTGTTTAATCGTGGAACTTTTGTTGTCATTCTAGACAACATCATTGGCAAAAACTTCAGAAAGAAATGAGCGATAAGGTTTTCTCAGCCTTGTGTGTGACTGATTGTTTCTGCCGAGGTCTTGTTGTTGTCTTCATGTTTATTTCAAGTTATTGTCCTGATGACTTGAAATCCGATCTTCTTATTGTTTTTTATTGGTTTATAGATTAGGTTAACGTTAACATGTCTATTGGTCGCTGACTGCCCTGAATACTAAACCATTGATCGAACCGAAACTTTGGATCCGAGATGTAGACGGCAAAATTGTCATCATTAAAAGAAACGAATTGAAAACTGCTTAAAAACTAATCAACAACTTTTTCGATGACATCAAATTCACCTTTGAAAAAGAATCAAATAACAAACTTTTATTGTTAGATGCTCTGATCACCAGAACAGATTCAGGAATATTGGAAACTGAAGTATGCAGAAAACCAACTCATACGGATCAAATTCTCAACTACAATAGCAACAACCGAATAGCATACAAAGTCAGTTGTATAAAAACATTGTTCAAAAGGGCAAAGACACACTGTAGTACATCAAAAGTATGGAGAAAAGAAGAAGGCTATTTGATGACTGTTTTCCAGAAGAGCGCCTATTCACTCAACTTCACCAAAAATGTTTACGTAATTTATCATCAACCTCAAGTCCTGATAAAGGGATCATTCTGCCTTACAGGAAGAATGTCATCAAGATCACAACTAGATTATCGAAGCCTTTTGAATCGTTATATCCCACAAGCCTACAAAATCTCATCCTTTGTTATGCAGTTCAAAAAATACAACAGTAAAGGAATACAAACCAAAAATTATCTGCAAAATAAACTGCAAAAAAACACTACATCGGACAGAGTGGTCGCCCTCTTCTCATTCGTCTACATGAGCATCAACTAGCAGTGAGACATCATGATATCCCCTTGCTCACATCCGGGCATACGGACAATTATGGACATGAGTTTGACTGGGAAAATGTGAAAATCCTGGACACAGGGAATACAAAGAATGCCTATTATTCAAATCAGTCAGCAACCGGTAGGCATGTTAACGTTAACCTAATCTATAAACCAATAAAAACAATAAGAAGATCGGATTTCAAGTCATCAGGACAATAACTTGAAATAAACATGAAGACAACAACAAGACCTCGGCAGAAACAATCAGTCACACACAAGGCTGAGAAAACCTTATCGCTCATTTCTTTCTGAAGTTTTTGCCAATGATGTTGTCTAGAATGACAACAAAAGTTCCACGATTAAACAATCCAGCTCAGAGAACACACTACCAAAATCTTAACTTTCCCAAGTTTATCTGAACTGAAATGCATACAGTTCTTAACAGGTTTAAATGTCTTTATTTACTGAATGAACTTGCTCCATCAATCCGAACCCTGAATTTATCAGTTTGTGATCACTGTTTTTGACGTATAGAAATAATCACATGATATTCAGTTGTAATGTCTGGTCATTAGTAAAAAGTAATTCCTGAGACATGAGGAAGAAATGTAAATCAAAATATTTGATTCAACCTGTACAAACTAATTGACTTCAGTTTTGCTCACCATAAGGTGTTCGGATGCTTAGTTTTTAAACCACTAGATGATTAGATAAAGAGTGAATTTAAGGACCACCCTCCCAACTACTGAGATATTCAGTTACGTTTCTTTATTTTATGAAAAACTGCCATTCCATCTGAAATGTAGAAACCTGAATGATCATTTCAGCTATTTCCTGGGTGGCCTTTAAAGTCACTCATGGATCAAAAGAAGCAACTGGGCCAAAAGAAATAATTTTACGTGACCAAGAACTGGCACCATAAACTCCAAAGAATATGATTTAAATAAACAGGATATTTCAATTAAATGCAAATACTTGTAGGGCAACAATGTTTAGTATTACAAAACCAATTCAGCCCGGAAGCAACTTCCTCCATAGTGATAATAAACTGCGAAAAGGTACAAGCAACTGGATTGTATAAAAATCCTTTTCTTCTCATCAGTGTAAGTAATATTTATATGAGAACTGATAAAAGAAATTATTCGCAGTAAAAACCTGATGATTGAAACTCAACGTTCGTTTTTCCAACGTTGAATAAAAATATACTCAATAGTAGAACAGATTTGCTGCTCAGGGTGAAGACCATAGTTGTTTGGTGTTCTCATACAGAAGTAAATACTGACCAAGTTCCCTAGCTTGATGACAAAACGTCCAAGGAAAAGACTCAAAGCTGAAAGAATACCGAACGATGATCACACTCAATAGTCATAGACAGGAACAGTGCGTTTGAAAAGTTTGAAAAATGAAGGGTATCAGGTGTTATTAACTAAATAAAAGTAAAAAGGATGCTTTTTGAATGTTCTCTTGACTGTTTGATCACTACTATCGAAAAAAAAGAAGAATTTTCCTAATATGTTTCTCAGCTATTAGTGACATGTTTGCAAACATGTGTTTGAATTTGTCACGAAAACAATCTTGAGTGAATCTTTTTGACATCATAAGTAGTCACTTCAGCATCTACTACTGTTTTAGTCAGCTAAGATTTAGAAATAAGGTGTCACTGCTGTTACTACATGCCACCATGAAGAAATAAGGCTTAGTTAAAGTTAGATAACAAATGAATTAACAGTAACTCAATAAATATTAATAATCAACCCTGGTGTGTAAAAATGGCTATCCTATTTCGTTTTATCACAAATAGTTGTCAAATATGACAAAAGAGTGAAAAGAGTTGTTCCTTGAATGATATAATCCATTACAAAATAATTGTGTAGATACATCCACTAAATCAGAAATCAGTAAGTACAATGAACAGATTTTTTTTCCACGAGTTCATTATCTAATGATGAGTAATCAAATTTGGAAATGGTGGATATCCATCCGAATTCAGTGGTAAGAAACAAATACACCGATTGCAATTACATAACTCTTCTTAGGTTGATCAGGCGAATATTTGGGCATGGAGAATTCATATAATTCCAGTTTTTCTTTCCATATTGATGAGTCCTCTAGAATGCAAACAAGCCTATTAGCTTCAGCCTCTATCATTATCAGACGCACATAGACAGTAATACAAACCAACTTCAAACATTTTTCATGTTATCTCAATACAAAATATACATAACTTAACCATCTTACTTTGAACCACAACTAATTTACTCTGTTCCTTCTTAATTACAGATATCTTGGTCGACTAAAACCGCCTAGGTAACCAGTTCACTAGTTACTAGCCGGTCCTAAGCCCAGATAAAAGGTGAGGTTGGGCATAGGGCTAGCAACCCTACCCCGCAGAACCAATCTGATGGCTAAAGAAACTTCAAAGCACAAAGAAAATATAAAAAACATAAAATTAAACTTATTCCTCGCTGGAATCGGAGAGACGAATGATACCAGTTGGTGAAAACCTTGAGGTGGCCAACTGGTCGATGTGTCCTCGCTTTTTTCGATGGAAGTGAAAGTAAATATAAGGACATGGAATGTTTGAACTATGTGTGAACCTAGCAAGGCTGCCCAGATTGCCAAAGATATGAGAAGGAAGGTATGGCATGGAAGCGCTGGGAATCTGAGATAGCAGATGGAATGGAAGTAGACTCTCCTAACCGCCAGATGGAAAGTTAATAATCTATCTCGATATTCGAACCCAGATGACAACTACGAGCACACTGGGTTATGGAATGGCTATCATGATGTCCCCAACAGCATTAAAGACCCTTATACAGTGGGAAAAAATCTCCTCCACGATAAGGATCATCACAGCAAGATTCAACTGAAAAGGAAGGAGAGTCACAATCATTCAGTGCTACGCCACGCTCCTACAACAATTGCAGATGAAGAGAAGAAGGAGGAATTCTACAGACAACTCCAATCAGTACTTGACAAGACACCACCCCAGTTGGCGACATCAAAATTCATTCTAATGGGTGACATGAATGTCAAACTGGGAGTGGACAACACAGGAAGAGAACTGTGCATGGGTCGAGAAGCGCTCGCTGAAATGAACGAAAAT